CTAGAGGGAAGATAAATGATAATAAGGGTGCACTAATCACATTTCCAGCACAATGAAACCGAACCAGATGAAAGCAGTCTGTTGGGTCAAGGTCTTCCTGATGCATTGTCCCTCCAGCGGAACTTGTAACCTCTTGGTGCAGCGCTAGAAACAGAGCGAGTACTGCAAGGTAACAGTGCTGCAGTACTGTACAGACCGACCAGAGAGGGGAGGGGGGCTGCAGGGCACGCAAGTGGGGAGCATGCAACGAGTGGGGAAGATTAGAGGCACAGGCAGTAGAGGAGAAGACAACTCCCATCTTCCTGCAGAGTGAAGGACCTGGGAAAGGAGGGGATGGATGGGGAGAGGAGAGTTGAGCACACCCATGAGAAAATGGGATATCTGATTAAGAATTGATCAACCCCCCCCACCTTGTGAAAGAAGATCGCACAGCAATCAGTCCTGCTTCCCTTATTCCCATCTTGCCAAGATTAAAGAATGGTGGGAAGATCACTGAGTGAGCTTAACAGATGGGTTTGTACTTCTCATATTGCTTCAGGTTGCATTAATCTCTGCGGTGGGTTCTCATTTAGCTGAGAAAATGTCACCAAAACAAATGAACCAGAGCAGGCTGATATGCTATCAACAGATGTAGAGAATCTCTTCTGCATATTGTAGATCGAGGCAGTCAGCATTCTCACTTGTCTGTTCCCTGAAGCTTCTCCAAAACCAATCAAAGATATCACTGGCTAAGTTGGGAGTATAAATGCCTAAAATCAGCAGATACTTCAAAAGGAGAAACGGGTAGAATCAGTCAGGGAGTGTGGACGATGGCAGGGAAGTGAGGTGACATAGCGGAGGAGCCCAAGCAGTCAGTACAAAGGAGACATAGTCAGGGGTTGGGAAGAATGCCTTGGAGACAGGCGTGATTCACTTCTGTCCATCAAACCAGCAAGCCCCTGCCTGCATATGCATTCCCATTTCAAAAACATGCCAGTTACTTCTAGTTTTCTTGCATCCTCTGACAGTTCCTGAACCAACACAGTTCTTCCAGTGTACAAGGTCCAGAAAAGAACAGGGATGTTTTGCTGGGCTTGCTGAGAGCATCTGTGATGAAAAAAAATGAAAGGACAGAGGACCAGCAAAGGAACTGACAGGGATTTGGGTCGGTCAGATATTCCTGAAGAGGCAGAGAAGCATCGTGTAGCATGAGACAAGGCCATGGAACAGAGAACACTAGGTATCTCTGTTTAAAGAAGAGTTAGGATTGCCAGAAGTCCCTTAACGCTTCCATAAAGCGAAGAGTGAATAAATTTAAGGTGAAAGAAAGGTGAGGAAAACTTCGGGTCACACAAATATATTTTCAAAAAATCAGGGAATATAAAGCAAATACAATCATCATTTTGCCTTAATTAGTCTGTCCTTGAGCGTTGTCCCAACAAGCCAAGCGTTACATCTGCTAAGATTTTCTCTTTACAGCTGCTAAAGAAACAGTGAACAGAGCAGAGGAACACTGTGCCACTGGAACCGAACACCTGTTTCTTCCTGAAGTTCGCTGTGCTCTGCGGGCTTGTTTTAACCCAGCCACCCAGATGAGCCGAGTGCCGCCCGGCCTTCTGCTGCGCTGCCAGACAAGACGTTTCCTTACTTACACCTCACTGCACTCGAGGGATCACCTCCGTGTGTCTGAGCAGACGGGCTCCAACATGCACCTCCACTGACACTACCTACCGACGTGGTACTGGAAGGAGGACGCTGGATCTCGGGGGGTTAACACACGCCTCGGCTCTTGCCGGTGGTTCCTCAGGTCCCCCCCCCTCCACCTCTGGTCCAGGTCGCCCTTCCACCTCTCCTCGGGTGACAGCACACACAGCTGCAGCTCTCCGGTCGCTGAGCACCATCAAGGCAGGGAGCAGCACATTCAGATTCACCACACTACACTCACTCAGAGACTGCCTGACAACGCATCTTCTTCTAATACATAAATTTGATGCAATGTAATTTCCCTTTATATACGTACTCTGTTGGCCAGAGTGGCTTTCCGGTTTTCATCAAGCAGACAAAAGGTTTAAACTATAAAAAGTGGCTGATATTTAAGTTTTAATAAAAATATATTTCAGATGTCATTCTTTTCCTTGGACTGACCTAGTCTACAATAGATTATTTACATAACTGTCGTAATATCTATTTCAAAACCAACTAGACAGCCCTCTCCAGGACTGTAGGCTGCCCTTCCTGTCACCGTGATGGGTAAACAGTGACACCTTTTCAGGGCCCGATGAAATATAGAGAAGTACTAAAGTGCACCATCCATCACAATGGCACTAAGTAGGTTTTTGAAGTAGATTTCCGATCACAAATGCTCACAGTTTTACTCACAAACGCTGTTTAGACTGCTACCAGAAAGCACAAATTGGATGGCTCATATACAGCGGCCATATGATGAATGAACATGACAGGTGGTCAAAGAAAATGAGTCTTGCTATTCCACAAATAACCTTGTCAACATGAAAGTAGAGCTGTAGCTCTGCTGGTAGCCAGACTGCAAGAACTTAATGGTTTTATTTGCTCACACCTCTAGCAAACCAAATAGACAAATGAGATACAATGAAGCAGCATCATCAAAGCTGTATTAGCAATTCAACCTGATTATGTGACACACAATATAAGTTTTCTACTAAGGATGTGTCACATTTGAAAGAAAATTATTCAGATTATGAGTAGCTGTTACAAGAATACCTTTTCGCAGGAAAACCTCATGATTTTGCAATCACAACAAGATATGCAAAATATGCAACTTGTTGTTCCAATGCAAGCAATCAAGTCACCCTCTGATGGCTGAACCCAGCAACAGCCACCACCTGCTACTCCTCATTTAAAGTTTTTTCTACTGCCATTAATTTAAATAGTAGAGATTACTGTGTAGGATTGAAAGTCAGGAAGGTTAGATTGCTACCAACTGATCTGTAGCCTAAGCAAATAGGGGAATTTCCCTTTTAGGCAAAACTCTAGATCTAAGGATACTTTAGGTCGATTGTTTGAAGAATAAAAGAAACGTCTGAGGTTCTGTGAGGATGGTAGGCATCTCAAAGAACTGACTCTAAAGTTGTGCACAGACAGTCATTCTTTGGCTCAAGTACAAGCTGCAAGTTTCGCGAAAGACAAGGTCCAACACCGGAGATGAGTACAACGCAGCATGTGTGGTCCTCATGTCTACAGAACTCAGAGAAAACTGCCCTGAAATAAAACTGAAAGTGGTACATGTGTTATTACTTATAAAATCAACGATTTTTCCTGGAACATTGGATTTCCTTTATCCTGATGAATGTGTTAGCAACACATTGATTTTCATTAAATAAAATCTCAAAGGCCACAACTGTACTTTTATCTCATTACAGTTACTCTTATTAAGTTACAATGAGAAAATAATATTACATATTGAGTTTCTAAGTGATAAATGAGCGAAGCCAAACACATTCATTAGTACTTTTTACTTGCCCATGGAAAAGTTAAAGCACGCATCATGCAGGTTAGGACCTACCCTTGCCTACTTCATTTTATTTCTTAACAACAAACTTTAACTTGAAGTTGTTGGGTTGATAGAGCCCCAGAACAGAGGCTCTATGGAGATAACGACCATGAGACTCAAGATGGAAAGCAGGCATGTAAAGTACACAAAAACAGGAGATGGAGAGAAGTCTCTCTCCCAAAAGAGAACAAGAACTGTATTCCTTCTCCTCTCTGGAATAAATCCCTTGGGCTAAAAAGCTTCAGTGCTTTTAAGAAAGAGAAGCTGAAACCTGTGAACTTCAGGATGAGAAACTTAAGGATCTGACCTTCTACCAGCCCTCATATTTCCTACAGTCCAAAACTCAAAATTATATTAACAGTGCATAAAATGGATTAGTTAACATCACGGAACTTTCCCCTTTTTGACTTGCAAGATTTCTGCATTGCATTACATGTTATCAATAAGCATTCTGGGCAAACACTGTCATAAACAAAGGGAAAATACACAACAGTCAAATTTTACTGTTAAATATTCAGCAACTGATACGCTATAAATATTACGATAATCAGAAAGTATAAAGTTACTTGGAAGAGGTATCCTCCAAACCCAAAGCAGTTTACAATCTGTTCCAATGTAATATATTACTGTTCTGTCATGAAAACAAACATATATTTTAAGCAATAAAGAAACCAAGATGGAAAAACCCCTACATCGTTGGAATAACATACAATATTTTAAAAAGGAGAAAGACAACAGTAGTGCAGTTAGCAGTGAAACGGCTATTTTTGTATTTCAGAAATATTTATTGAAATTTATACTATCTCAGCTAGGGAAGTAAACGGAAATGATGACCCCTTTGTACACCCCCAATATATCTGGAAAGCAAATACAGGAAGGCAGCCAGTGAAGACAGTAAAAGAGGATAAAACAAGATAATCCAAGATCTTATTTCACTTGGCAAGTAACAAATCCCAATAGGCAGGATCTTTCCATTGACAAAACTTCTTCACAAAAGCTACAGTAAGATAAAACTACAAATCGGGGTTTTCAAGAGGAAACAGAAGATGTGTCAACTGAGTTGCCATAGAAGAACGTATGCGAGATCCACAACCATCATTCAGGAGCTCCAGGTATTAGCCCAACGCTCTCACCAGTCTCACCACTGAAAACAGCATCTTACCCTTCCTACAGCCATCCCTCAAACCAGCAGCACTTATACATCAACAGGATAAAATATAGCTCTAGGCACAGCTTTCAGATTTTTACACCCAAAAGATGTCAATTCATAAACTCAGATACTTTCTTTGTTAACCAAGGAAACCATACAAAGCGTTCAGGTCTGACTAATTTTTAATTTGGAATTGAGATGGGACACATCATATTTTGCCTAAATATGTTTATTCTAAGGCTAGGCATGTCACCACGTGTACTTTGCCAGCCAACTTCAACAAAAGCTGATGTTTTCTAACTCTATTTCACCACAAATGACAGAGACAAATGGTCATATTACCTCAAGAGTCCCTTTGGCAGAGTAAGCTGCATACGAGTACAGGAGGTCTTGGCTATGAAGCGTTTTGGTCTCTCTGTCGCACTGTTGTCCACTAGGATAAAAGCATTCACCGCTGTTTTTCAGAGTTACTGTGTTTGAAGAAGAGCCTGGTAGGTCAAGCAAAACAGAGTAATTTACTAGCCGGACATCTTCAAGGCCTTGGGAACTCCACTGAACCAGAATTTTCATAGCAATGTCTACATCATTTTCTCTAGGGTACTGCAACAAATCTCTGGAAAAAACACACAAGTAAACACAGTTTTAGTTTATTTTTCAGTGAGACACTTGTACCTTAGTATGCATCAGTCCATGGTTTTATTCATAACATATCATCAAACATGCAAAAAAGAATAACAATCACCCTTCACTTTTTTACAAATACTTTCTTACCAATTACAATACAAAAGCAACTGCTTTTGGGGAAATAAAAAGAAGAAAAAACAGTACTTATCGGAAACATATCCCACTGAAACAAAGAATCCTACAGAAATTATCACACTAATTGTTCCAAATTCCTCTCTCTGGTGCTGATCAAGTTTCTGATATAGCATCAATTTAACCAACCATGAATATGAAGAACATCATCTCAAGTACATTTCAGGGACTTCAGGGGGGGCATGATGCTGAAAATTAGTTGTAATTATACATTTGGCTTAAATTCATCAAGTAAAGCAAATCTGCTAAACAGAATGGAACTGTTCCCCAAATACTGTGTTAGAAAGTTTTCCTAAGATTTTCTACCTGCACTGAAGTATTACTTGAGCCAAGAGCTTGGCCAACATGTGACACGAGCCTGGAAAGTATTTGTTGGGATCCACCAGATGGGCCAGCTGAGTTCAGACGGGTTAAGTCTGGGCTGGTATCACTGGGTTTGTATCACCACTCAACACCTGCTACCGGATGGGCCATAGGATGAAAATGGTGATGGCACTGAAGGACAACCCTCCTCCCCGGCAAATGCCAAAAGATCCTAGACTTACAGAGTATTTTAAAGATAACATCAGAGGACAGACATCCTGAAAGGACAACTAAAGGCTTTCCCAACCTACCTAAGCAAGCACTTGTGAAGGCAAAACAGGGCAGACATAAAAAGCATCGTTATTCAAATAAATAGCACTATCCAAATAGAGTACAAAAAACTTATGGAATTTTTGCTGAATATTGTGAGGATTTTTTTTTTTTTTTTTTTTTTTTTTTTGGGTTGTGGGTATTTTTTTTTTTCATCTCTGAAGCTCTCGGGAGCGAGAAACAAGACTAAGGATCACAGAGGTATTGATTTCCAAACACAGAGATACTGACACTGCCTGAAACTCTTGTTCACACCTTCTCTTCACAAAAAAAAGAGGCCACGTATATTTAGATGCTTTAGGGTCTTTAACAGAACCTCAAAAAATACGCTGGCTGTCTCGCACAAATCAAAAGCAATGGCTGAATAATGCATAGCCTTTTAAAAAACATTATCGCAAGTGACAGATGTTCGAGAAGTGCTGAGTAGGCACTTCTGCGCTATTTGGCGCCCAGCTGCGAGGCTGCGGGCTGGGCTGCTCCCAGCTGAGGGAACCCGGGCTGCTTCCATCAGGGTCTGCACCAACCCCAGGGGGAATTTCACCAAGGCAAGCTCACGACAGAAAACAAGCACAAAGACTCCCTTCTCCACCGCAGCAAAACTATCTTGTGGTTCAACAGACCTTTAAAAAAAGGATGTTTACTACCTAGATAACGTGAAATCCATAAAAAGGCAAAAAGTGAAGTTACAACACCTATTATATGTTAGAAATAGCTCAAGAATGGTATAGTACATTCAAATGTTTAATGCCAATCATCACTTTAGACGGGTGAAATAATTATTTCAGCATCTAAAGTATTTTTAAAAATCTATCAAAATTGTCTGTTTAAAGAAATATGCTGTATGTCAGACTGCATTGGCAGCAAAGTTTAAAATCTCCACAAGAACACTGGACTTATTTTGTAGATCTCAGAGATCCTGTCAGGAGGAATAACTCTCTTGCAGATTTAATCTTTTTAAATTATCCAAAATAAGTCTTCAAGCAGTCTACACAAAACAGACGAGTTAATCCAATCTGTAGTATATTACAAGTTTCCAATTTCATCTCCTGTGCCTGCTAATGTAATGACATAAACTTGGGCAGTGAAGAAATACATAAAATTGTTTGATTAACACAATCATTAACAGAATATCTGCATTTCCCTCAGGTGGTAGAAACATTAATAGAATAAATAATTGAAGAAACTTATCTCAGGCCCATAAGGTTATGGCACATTGCAACAAGGAGTAATTCAGTTTCAATAAAAGGAGTTAAGTATTAAAAGAAGATACAATAAGCAAATTGGTCCCTTAGCAATAGAAGTAAAGTTACTTTCCACTTCATAATTAAATAAGCATGTCTGAAACTTTTGTGACAACATATCTGATTAAGTTACAGAAATGAGAAGACTGACTATTTACTCATAATGTCTTTACAGCATGTTAAAATTAAATTACAAATTATGGGCACACATTATATAATAATAAATTGGCACACATTTGAATACTTGGATAAATCTTATGAACCTCACCAGTAAGATTTATTTTTTTTCTCTGATTTCTTATAATCACTGAATTACACTTCTTTCTGATATAATTCTGCTGACCGCACGGACTTAAATTCCGAGGTAATTTAATCCATCAGTTCTATAACATACTAGTTGGATAACAAGTATAACATACAAATATAGTATTTCTTAAACCTGACCAAATTCAGAAAAGTTTTACGTTTGGCAGTTCAGCCTGGAAAAACCCCAACACTTCATGTGCACTTCATGATCCTTTCCTACAAATTGTCAATTAACTTGCTCCCTAACACTTCCAGGGCACTGAGATTCACAGTAGTAAGATTTAAGCAGTGGAAAGAAACAGGCTCTGGGGATGATTATGTTTCTCACTTTCACAAGCGGCTGCATACTCAGTGGGAATCAATAGCAACGCGATTGCCATTTCCCATTTACAACAGTGCCTTGAATAATGTCACCCAAATTTTTGATTCCCTTACATTAAAAAGATACTTTATTCAGCTACTTGTTCAGGCTCAGTCAATGGGAATAACCACAAAGTTAACGGGCACATCTCAGTTGCTGTAAATCTGCACAATTTATTGAAGTGGAGCCACCAAAGGCTTAAGATTTGGTCTCAGGTTAGAACCAATGTTAATAAATATAACAATAACAGTCTGAATAATACTGTGCCTTTATGGGATGCTCTCAGAGTGATTTCCACAAGTTGCTTGCCTTTATTTTCTAATATAGATCAGATATTGAACTAACGTACACAGAACAGGACATAAACTTGTTTCATGAGTATTCTGCGGCATCTCAAATATGTTTGGTTGCTAAACTGGAAAAAAAAAAACAAAACAGACAAAACTGCACTTCAAACTCAGAAAGCCTAACCTGCTTCACCTGAACAAGGTAGTTTTCCCACTTTGAGATAACAAAATCAAGAAAATGTTTATGAAGACACATTCTTAGATTTCCTGTGTATACAAGAAGTCTTAAGATGTATTCTACTGCTTGATCAGCTGGATCCCCTGGCCAGCAAAGAACAGCAGACCATGACTGCTGAAGGTTCAAAGTTCTAAAGCTAGGAAAATAATTTGAAATAAGACAAAGATACATCCGTAATAAAGCAAGGCTTTCTGCAGCCTCTGCAGCTTCGTAAGACCAACCTTTAACAAAGGATTATAAAAGATAAATGAACACACACACACACACAAAATACAGAAATTAAATTTTCAAATTGGTAACCGTGGGGAACATGGAGCTGCAGCAGCTTAATGGAAAGTCATCTGCTGCAACAGCACTTTTTTTGACTTAGCTTGCTAAAGGAAAGAACAAGGTATTGCAAATAAGCCAGCTGCTCATTGCTGGCGATACACTGAGACACCGCGAAACACCACTCAAATGATACCAAAAAATTACAAGAAGTCACTCTAACAATCAAAAGATGGAACAAATTTAACTGTATGACAAAATTCCTTATCAGACAATCCTATTTAACTGCTACACCCCCCCCAACCCCACCCCCAACAAAGCAATTCTAAAACTGCAGTAGGATTCTACAGACTTCTTCTCAAAAACCTACAGGGACAGATTTTTCCTTCAAATATGAAGTAGTTAAAGTGTGGTTTGTTTGGATTTTTTTTTTTCTGTAAAGATGTAATGTCTATATTGCAGTAAGGGTGGAAAACGGCCCATATTTCATGGCATATTTAAAAAAAAAAAATCTGAATTCCAGTTTTGCAGAGTTAGATGTTTATCTCATTTTCTTACTCCCCAATTCTGATTGTAAATTTTTACTCCTTATGTTCCCCCAGTTCACTTAAACTGTTGATAAAGCAATTACTGGAATTCTAGGTAAAAACTAGGAACAAATACAATTTTGGAATTTTTATGGGCTGATTTTTCAGCTGAGTCATCGTTTTCAAATTTTGGAAGCCACCATGAATTCACCAGAAAACATTTTTTGTAAAGCTACATCAGATCAAAATGTCATCTCGCCTAATATGCTCTTTCCAACAGTGGCTGGTGACAGAGAACCAAAAAAAGAATGCGAAAAACGCATCATATGGGACTATTATATTTATAGACTTCCATGCATATGTCTTTTTTCCTACCCGCAAACTTTGTCCAGGCAGAGTTTTAAAAATGTTTACATATGTTCAGGATTTCAGAACTCGTTTCAGTCCATTAAGAGCTGAGATGTGGCAGTTTCAGCAGTGCTGGGCGAGTGCACAGCACTTGCACACACCAACTGCTCAGCATATGCACGAGTGTTTTTCACAGTTGCAGATAGCGTATTTATCTGTATCCATCACGCAGAGCGTGTACACAAAGCAAACTAAATGCGTTCAGGAAATACCACCTGCCCAAGCCACATCTGCTTAAATTTTAATTACATGTTCCTGTTAATTAGGGTGCTCGACTGGCTGGTCTCCAACCTGCCCATCGGATTTCCTGTGGTCTGAACTCACTGCCACAAATCTGTTGATTCAAAAAAGAAAAAGAAAAAACAAAACAAAACAAAAACAACAACCCAAAAAAAAAACCCAAACACAACAGCCAAGTCCAAGAGAGGATAAATATTTATCAGGTCACTAGAATATGTAAGAGAAACATTCTTATTGTGTAAACAGTTGACCACATGCAGCTTAGTGCAGGATAGGATCCAGAAACACT